AGGAGCTGAACATCTGAGGCTCCTGCGTTTGCCTTTACAGAGTAAATTGCCAATTAAATGATCCTGTACCTCCAGGGCAGGTAACCAGGTAGGCCAACTGGGTAGGTTGCAGATGTTTCAGGGTGTGAATAATGCAGTAATAGTAAAAGCTAATGCTTTTAAGTTAATGCATGCATTTGATTATGGCACCTGTAGGGTTCTAAACGAGCACTTGGTGAATAGGAATCCCCTAGAGAGTAATAGCCTGGCTTCTTTACAAATTAAACTTCTAGGAACTTGTCTTGCCCAAGACTGCCCAAATACCTGGGTATGCTGAAGTCCAGGGTAATAATTCCAGATGCACCATTTTGTTCTGTTATACTTAGTGACTTCTTTGACTAAACTCAGCTCTTTCTGGGGTGCTTGGCCATGTCCTGAACTAGTTCCTCCTACCCTGAGTTGAGTGAAGTGCTCCACACCTGCAGAAAGGTGTGCTGGTGTCCTGGTTTTCTCTAGGTGTGGCCTTTTCTGGGTGTTTTGATGTGATTTGGTGCTTGTAGGTTGTGCCAGTGTCCAGGGCACTCCTGATGTAGTTCTTTCTGTATCTCTTTCCTCTTGGCAGAGGGTATAATGCACAACACTGCCAGGTTCCTTCCTGCCTCCTTTTTATGCTATTCCTGGCCCTTTTGGGGCAAGGACTTCCACTGGGTAGTTGAATGGGGGGCTCTTCTGGCAGCAGCAGAGAGCACAATGTTCCTTGTCTTTCCATACTGCTCTGCATGTAGGGATGCCCTTGGATCCCTCCTCTGTCACCTAAGGCCAGGAATGATTGTCCTTGTTAATGCTCACTGCTTCCTCCCCCTCAGGTGATCCGGAAAGGCTGGCTCACCATCAACAACATTGGCATCATGAAGGGTGGCTCCAAGGAGTATTGGTTTGTCCTGACAGCGGAGAACCTCTCTTGGTACAAGGATGATGAGGTGAGTAGCTCAGCTCTGCTGCTGGAGTCTCAGGCATCTGATGAAGACGAGCACTTCAGATCACTGGGTATTACAGAGTGCTGTCTGCAGCTTGTGACAAGCTGAAACTATCCTTGGGCCAGGCTCCCCATGGCCTCAGTACTGCTGAGTATTTCAGAATTGATGTGAATGTGGCTTGTTTGACGCACAAGGAGTAATATTTATTCTTGAAGTTCTGGCTTAGTGGGAAGTTGACAGGCATTTGGAATGAATTTGACCTTTACTCGTTTTGCTGTGGCAGCTGTGATCATTAAGGGTGTGATGGGTTAGTTCCAAGATTTGGACTTTTAGGCATTTGTGGGGCAGCAGCAAGTTTTCTGAAGGCACGTGGCAATGATTTCATGCATCTCCTGGTTATAAGAAAAAAGCTCTATCAGAGCAAAGCAACAGGAGCTGTGGACCTGAAGCTCTAGCTCACGTGCTGGCTCTTTCTGACCTCGAGTAAATTAGTTAATCTCTCCCAGGTCCAGCTCTTAAACATGCAAAGTAGGAATGTCTTTTTACTGAATCTGTATTGAAAATGGCAGTTAATATGTTATATTTTAAATTGTTTGAGTTGTAAATGGTCAAAGTTCTGCTGATCAAAACTACAGTGATGTGTGGAATATCACTGATAGGAATATGGACCTACTCTGTAGAGTTGCTTGATAATCTTGAATATTAGGAATTCTGGCAACATGCTGTGATGTGTTTCTGCTTCAGTGGGAATTGTTATAAGCAGACAGAATCATTCCAGCTGAAATCACTGTCAACAGCATCTTGCTTCCTATGCAAGACAAAGATAGTTAATTGCCCCTTTTGATTATTTGAAAATAGAAAGAATAGCTGGATGGTTCTGGTAAGAATGTGATTGAAAGGTTTAGTCCCCTCAATGTGCTGGGAGATGAAAATTTCTGGTATGATCTAATCGTAAGCTCTGAGTCGATTTGGGTTTCTGATTACAAATGAAGAAACTTCTCTGCCTGTTATTGTGGTGTGTGTCCCTCAGGTGTTCTGAGGCACTCACTATTGTGTCTGGGAGCTGCAGCTAGGACTGGATTCTTGTCTAGTTGCTATCAGTGGGCCTGTTTCCTTCTCAGCAGGTAGAAATGATGACAAATACAGTGATGAATCAGTCTCTAAATATTGCTTTCTGTATGGAGGTGACTGCTGTGCTGCTATGGATGAGCAGGCAGCAATTTCCTAATTAAAGAACCAGGCATTGAAATGCCTTTTGCTAAAATCAGTGTGTCTCTGCTGTAAGACCCCTGCTCTTTGTGTTCAGAGTGGCTTGGGGAGGCTTCCCTCTCCTCTGGGCTTCAATGCAGGTTGAGTGGTTATAAACATCAAGTAGTTTAATCAAAGCCAGCTGCTACATCTGTATTACAGAGATGATCAGAATTCCCTGTTCTTCCCCCAGGGAGTGGGAGGGAGGGCGGTCTGCAGCGGGGATGTATAAACTGTTGATAGATTCCAGTTGCCTGGGATGGGGATTGGACCTCCCTCCCCTCCTGAGGGAGGGCAGCCTTGGGGGTTGATAGCAACTGGAGGTCTGCACCATTTCCCTTCTGCAGAGCTGCCTAATGAAAACAGTTCCCTGCCAGCCCCTGTCCCTTAAACACAGAGAACCAGCACCGATGAGGTCTGAGCTGCCTCTGAGAAAGGAGCCTTTGTTTTCAACTGAGTGGGAGCAGGGGGGAAAGGGAAGTGTGTGTTTTATTTGCTTCCTCCCCAGGTTCAACTCCTTTATCACTGGCTGTTGTGAGGGAGAAAGGAAGCAACGTCTGCCTGGACTCAAATATTGAATCAGGCTAAAAGTTGGTGCATTTGATGGGCAGCTGGGAGAGCCTTGAGCATGGGGATTCCCGTCCAAACCTCAGTCCTGCATGGAGCTGACTCAACACCCAAGAGCTGCTCCACAGTGCATGGTCCCCTGTCAGACAGGGGATTTTTACATGTCTGTTACAGAGCTCTTGTTCTTCACCAGTTCAGGAGAACTCATGTCCTCTTCAGCTCCTGAAATAATCTCATGTGTTTTTAAAGCTTGTACACCATGGTCTTTCTTTGCTTCAGCTCTGGAAGAAGGGGGAGGCTGTGACTGCCCCACCCTGCAGTTTTGTGGGCTCTCTTGTCCTAGTTCCCCTGCGCTCTGGCTGCTTTCCAGAGGGAACAAGGAGGAAGCTGAATCTGCCTTTTGTGGATGGAAGTGCTGGTGGCAGAGCTGTGGGTGCTGATGGGGGAAGGAGCAGGGTGAGGTGGTGTGTGGTGGGGTGAGGGTGAAGGCTGGGCCAGCACCTCTGGGGCCAGGAGGACTGGGGACAGTGCCTCTCCCTGCCCTGTCTCACGAGCCAGGACCCAGTGTCTGCGGAATGAAGACATCTGGACCCCATTAGTGAAATACCAGTCTTTCCGCAGCACTCGCTTGTTTTTTCTCTGCCTCTGAAGAAAGGAACTGAAGCTTAAAATGTCTTAAAGGGCCCAGCATTACATGTTAGCAGGGATATATGGCTGTTGATGCTCTTGAGGGTCCTGAAGGAGTGTGCTGGGGAATGGGAGGGGAAGGAAAGAGTGGGCCAAGCGGGGGTGGAAAGTTGGCTCCCCACTCTGCCTTGCTGCCAAGAGCATGTGTGTGTGCTCCTGGGCTCTCTGTTTTTCTTCCTGTCTCCTTTCAATAAGTCAAACACTGGCCCCATGGAGAGTGGCCCCACAGAAAGCTTGGCCTCCCAGGACCTGGCGACCCTCCTGAGGTACCTGCATCTCCTGAACCCTGTGGGATCATGCTGCAGGCCAGCAGTGGGAAGGAGAGGTGGGGAGGAGCCTGTTCTGGCTGCTGGCAGTACAGAGTGAGGTTTCCTTGCTCAGGGACGCCATAGGATCCCAGTGGAGCAGCAGCACCAGAGCACACTGGCTGCTCAGCAAACAGCACAGTGGACATGATACAAGAATTTGATTTGAATACTCCTCCTGCCCAGATCCCTTATGAAATGCACAGTGCCTATGACTCTGCAGGGCTTTCCTGCCTGCTGGAAAAGAGGTCTGTGAGCTTGGAGGGAACTGCTGGTGACAGGGACCTTGTAGGCAGGATGGAATGAGCACTGTGCTCTGTGGTTCCTGCCAGTAAAGCTCACACCCTGCTCTGCAGGGTAACTGCTCCTTCTGGAGTGCCTGTGTGCCACTGTGTGCTGGAGTGTTTGCACAGCTGGGTGGATGGATATATCTGCTGCTTCTTTTGGGAATTTGTGTGAATGTCCAATAGAGATGGAGCCTTTTGTCCTTACTCAGGTAAATCATGTACTAGAAATTTGGGTCTTGTGTGAATGGGTGGCTACATAGAAGAATGACCTTATTGGCTTGGGGGTTGGCATTCACAGGTTGCATGCAATGTCACTGCATTTGAGACCTGTGTGTGTACAAGGAGGGATGGCTGCAGGGTTTTAGGTACTTTAGGTGCATGCAGGTGCTGCATATTCCCTACAGATTGTGTTGATTCCTGATGCAACAGTTGTTGTTAAGCTTCTTCTGTGTCTTCATGCCTTCTCTTTTGCTTGAAACCTATTCCTATCCTGGGGAAGATGGGACCTTATTGCCAGGCACTAAATAACTGTGTATTCTGTACCTGTCAGTGTCTCTTACCCAATTCTAGTTTACAAATAAACATATGGAACAGTAGAAATTGTCCCCCCCCACTGTACACATGCACTTCCCTCTTCTCTGGCCCCTTCCACTCTCCAATCCATGCCCTTGAGGCCCAGATCAGGTGATCGATCTTTACTCAAATGCCCCCAGTCATGAGAGGCTTGCTGTGATGAGTTGGCTGCTGTTGAGTTTTTGCATCCAGCTTGTTTTAAAGAGTATAAGAGCAGGTCTACTCTGAGGTGGTTCCTCTCCTGCTTTCGTGCTGCTCTCAGGTGCTCTCTGGAAAATATTTATTTTCTTTACATCCTCTGTGGAGCCTTTCCATTCATGCACTTATATTTTTTCACAAGTGTATTTTTTTCCATAATCTTACTCAGTTTTTATCAGTCCTCATTTATTCTTTCACTCATTTTCTCTTCTTTCTCTGGCAGACAAACATCAAAGCAAACACAACATCAGAGCATCCAAACCTCCAACTTTGAATCCCTTGTAGGTTTTTCTTTGTATTATGACCAATATTCTTTACACCATGAACTCCCCTTTCTCCAGTCACCTTTCTGTGCTTGAACCTGCCTTCTCAGGTAGCAAAGCAAACCGCAGTTGTGACTCTGACAGGCCTGTGTGTTTATTTCTGCATTTTATGGCAAAGCTTAGCATGTGAAACACAAGCCATCCTGAACACAGCTACCCTGGGACAAGCACATGAAACTGAAAGAAATAAGAATGGAATGAGAGAGACAGAGGAGAAATAAGAGGGTTGTGAGTAGGCTGGTGAACAGGCAGGTAGAAGTGATGGTCAGGCATGGCTCCAAAGGGTTAGACCCTCCCAGGCTGAAAGGTGAGTGACCTCTGCATGCAGCCATCCCCAGAGCCCACCCTCTCCAAGCATGTCCCTCTGCCGTGCAGGTGTTGCCGTCCCCGTGCAGCACTGGCAGTGTGTGGTGTATCCCAGCACAGCCTAACCAATGTGCAGACTACTGTACAATCTCGTAGTCCTGAACAGGTAGTCTGAACACTGGGCAGACGGAGTGGAGCCTCTGTGATCTGCTCTCCGGCAATCAGCAGCTCATTAGTCCTCTCCCCTCCCTGCTTTTGGGATGGGGTTGTGCGGGGCAGAGATGGGGCGAACGAAAGTCCAAGTCCTGATTGGAAAAACATCCTCCTCTGGCAGCTGGGGGAGAAGAAATGTTGCTCCCTGCGTGTTTCCAATTTGGAGCAAGTTTCCAAGCGCCTTCCTCTTCCAGTGCTGGTGTCAGGCTGGTACCTGGATTCCACCTGGGCTATGCTGCACCTTTTTAAAAAGAGAAAAAAAAAAATCAATTACTGCAGTTTGAGGAGAAAATGCTGTGAAGTCTTGGCTGTCACCCAGGTGTGCAGAACTTGTTGCTTCATTCAACTCCTTTTCTTCCCCATGGAGCTGTGTGGGAGGATCCGCAGGCCCCATGCACCCTCATCTCTTCTCCTGAAGATCAGCGGGTCCATAGCAAAGTTCAAACAGAACCAGCCTTTGCTTCCAAGCCCTCCAGAAGGTCCTTGGACAGGGTTGCAGAAGGCAACCTTGGCCAGTTGCCCTTGCAGCTCACCTCTGGCTGCTGCAGGAGCAATCCACATCCCTTCTTTCTCTCCCCCCACTACGCCCTGGCATTGCTGAGCCTCCCTCCCTCTTCTGGTTTTTGCTCCCTCCCTTCTTGCTTCCCTTCTGTCCTTCTGCCTCACTTGACGTGGCAGTGGAAAGCTAACTAGACTCGAGGGAGGAGCTTGCTGGCTGCTGGGAAGGCAGAGTTTGGCAGGAAGTGAGCGGCTGACGGATGGGGTTGTGCGGGGGAAAGGAAGGTTCCCTACCCTGCATGGAAACTTGAGGAATGCTGTCGCTTTCTGTGACGCCTGGCTCTCATGTAGTGATTCCAGATGTTAGTCCCTGCCCACACGATTTGCTCCCTCTCCCTCTGTTGCGGGGATGAAAAGGATTTCATTCACGTGTGTCCATTCCTGGATTCCTTCTTCTGGTGTGGATGGTTAAGATTTGTGACCAAAAATGTGAACACTTGGAACTCCCATCTTGGCACTGACCGTGCACTGGGGAGGTGTAACCTACCCTCTCTCAGGGGTGTGAAACACTTGGGGTGTGTGTTGTGCTTTACCTTAGCAAAGCAAGTCAGATACTCTGGGGTGGTTCATCCCTGCCCTGGCACAAGGACAGGCGCAGGGAGAAGTGCCTGGTTGTCCTTTGTGAAGGCTGGTGGGCATTGCTGTGATGTTAGAGGGGTCATGACAGTCAAGTTTTGGGCACTATAGTCTCTCTCAAGCAGTTCAGGTTTCTGCCTATGCTTCCTCATAAATTCCCTGATGGCTACCTAGGGTTGCACTTTGCTGCAGGTTTAAATCTGCTCATTATTTCAGCTGATGTGAATAAAATTCTCCACTTTAGTGCAGGTGAGTTAATTACTATTGCTAAGCCAACAGTAATGGTTGTGATTAATCATATGAGTCCAGGTCTAGTGTCTACAGAGCTTTTGAACTAAATCAGCTTAAAATCTTAGGATGTGTTGTTTAAGATAAACTTAAACCAAGGCAGCTTTCTGATGTAAACAAGCCATTACAGCTGCTTTGCAGCCTGGGGGGAGGAATCATTCCTATAAATTATGTTCTGAGGGCAAAAGTGACACAGGTGTGTTTGGGAAAGATGGTCTCAAGATGTGTGTATGTAGTGGGATGACCAGGGCTTCCTGGAGGAATGACATCTCAGAAATTCAGCTCTTCTACTTGCTAAGATGAGAAGCAGAAAGCAATTGGTAGCATCTTGTTTGGGGGAGTGGAATGGTTGGTTCCGCTTGAAAAGCTCAGCTCGCTTGCTTTCAAATATTCCAAACTGTTTTTTGGAGGCTTTTTCCTAATATTCTTTTAGTGTGCATGTATTCGTACTGTGTGTTTATTATAAATTATTATGTTAATGTTTCTCTGATGTCGTAGAGTTTTATTATCGGAGTTTCCAAAATGCTGTGCATGTATTTAACAGAAACAATTTTACTGAAGCCCCAGGCATCTCTGGGACAGGTTTGTTTACCTGTAATGCTTTACATCTTATAGGAGGGAAAGGAGATTAAGAGGTTTAAGTAAGATTAATTTCTTCTAATTTCCCACTGCCCCCAGTTAAAACAATGGCAATGTCTTCTCCCATATCCACAGACCCTTGTCTCTGTGCAGAAGGTGGTGTTTGTCATAACAGCTACAGGGAAACCTTTAATTAGTTTATTTATGCTCCAAATGCAAACTGAGATCTGATAATTCTGCCAATTACTTTCTTGTGCTGTGAGTGCCAATTTCCAACCTTAGGGAGCCCACACATGCATCTGTCAGCTTCATTTTGCAAGTATCCAAGAGCAGGAAAATTTACTTTGCTGCTGAGGCAGTCCAGGTGAATGGAGAGAATGCTTGGAGTCAGGCTGGCTTGCTGCCTGCTGAATTCTGTGAACTTCTTGAACTTCTTGTAGCTTATTACCTACAGGTTAGCAACAAATAATTCAGGTGATACGCAGATTATTGCTATATCTGGCCAAAACCCATCTCTAGGATTTAACGACCATAAGGAGATGTGTAGCAACAATAAAGGATGTTGGAATATCAGGCTGCAACTGCAGCATCATGTTTTTCCTGCAGCTATTGTGCTTGCCACCCCACAACTGGAATGGCTCATGGATCCTGGTTGGTTTTCTGGCCATGTGTATTTTCTTTCCCTGGTAGATGCAAAGTACAGAGCCATATGGCTGTATTCTGCACTGTGCTGGGGGCGGGGGAATAATCCTCTGGCACTTTTCCTGCCTCTGCAAGGAGCTTGCAGTCATCTCTTTCTGCAGCTCTCCATGCAGGCTGAGACTCCTGTGGGGAGCAGCAGGCCTGATGAGGGGTAGTTACCCCGACAGTATTCCCAAACCAACACTGAGCACCATTTTCTGGTTTGTACAGTCTGGGGGCCTCTGCCACTGCTGCACCTCCCCTTGGCCTCATGGCTCTACAGATGAACTCACAGCCAAGGAGCACGTTTTATATAACACATACTCTGCTGCTGAGGGACAGTTTTGCTTGATTTTTTTTTTTTTTTTAATTCTCTTTATTGATGGAGGGCTATATGAGCAACATAAGCCTCTTGGGATTAGACTGAGGACTTTGAATATAAGATTTCATTAACTACTTTCCCATTTTGATATGTGCTGGTTCTTCCTTCTCTTCCCTCCTGACTCCAAGTCTGGAAAGCTGGAGAGAGAGAGAAGCCCTTTCCCCCTCTTGGCCAGGATGCTGCTCAGCCATAGCACACCCTGCCAGATTGCTAACGTATGGGCAGAGTGCTCAGCCAAAGTTTTGAGAGGCTCAGCCCTTGGCAGCTCATTCCACACTTTCCTGTCTCTACATTCAGGAAATGAAGTCAGATTGTTGATATAAAACAGGCTGGGTTGAAAACTGAGAAGCTGGAAAGGCTGAAATGGGGGACTGGGAAGGGGGAGGTGTAGGGAGATGGGGAGCAGCAGGGGCTCCTTGCAGGTTTGCCTGGCTTGGGGGCTTCTTGTCTTGTGCCCATGTCCTCCACTTGATTGCTCTTGCTACCTCCCCCTCCAGGACTGATAAACTGTGCTGGCAGACAGATATTTTATCTTCTGTTATCTGTAGCAAGATCAGCATGTGGAGATAGTGCTGTCTTGACCACGTGGCAGCATTTATGTGAGAGCTTGGAAAGGGTGAAAGTTGAAACTCTGGCATGTTGTTTCCATATCAGTGACATGGAATTCCCTTATTTTTTGAGATTTTTTCCTGAAGAATGACACCAGTGCAGAACTTCTATGGAATTATGTGGGTCTAATGCAGAAAGTTTTATTCAGACATCTTGAACATCAGCAGATTTTGTTTGTTTTTGTTGTTTTATTTTGGCTTTTTGTTGGGCTTTTTGGGGTCTTTTTTTGGGGGAGGGGGCATGAGGAGTGGTTAGTGTTTTGTTTTGTTTTTTCATTGGCCCAGGGGCTGTGGAGTGAGTGCAGGGAGTTCCAGTTAAGCAAGGCTGCAGTGGGGATGGTCTGATTTAGCCAGGGGCTCAGCAGTGTTGTTCTCTTCTAGGTCACTAGTTCACCCTAAGTCAGTATAATGATAACCCAGAGTAACAGAAAGCTGCAAGTTGTTTGTGTCTCACAGAATCTGAAGTAGTCTGAGTAGCTCTGAGACAGCATGTGGCTGACAGATATCCCATTAGAAAAATGCCTGCCCACATCTAATTAAAACTGATCAGCAGAATTAGAAAGTCCAGGGAAATTTGCTTTGAAGAATTCTCCTGTTTTCATGGCCTGGCATATTTGAGAGGGAGTCTGGCAGCAGCCCAAGTGATTTCTTCTGTTTTCGAGGTGCTGTTTTTTGAGATATTCTCATTGCATATGATTTGTAATGAACTGGTACAGTTTGATCTTTGGGATATCTCAGTACTGTGAGGTGCTGGTATCCTTTAGCAAACTCAAGTCAATTTAGCTGAAGTTTAAAGGATATTAGGACTTGGAATTATCTGGGTGTCAGAGCTCAGCAGCTTTGTCACTTGTACCTGCTCCTCTGCCCTGCCCTTCCTTCCTAGTCAGCTCTTCAGGATCTCTCCTCACTGACCATCTTTGTTTTCCATACTGTTTCCCCCAGTCATGATCATGTTGTTTCCAGCCAAGAAAAGTCTACAAACACACAAGATCTCACAAGGGGACAGGCTCACATGCTTGCTTTGCACATAGGAGTATGCTCTGGGTTTGGTTTAGTCTTGGATAGCTGCATTCTGCCATTTGGAGACCAGTGTGAGGGCTCCCTCTCTTGTCATGCTGGGGTATAATTCCCAGCTGGAATAGGATGCTCCAAATGAGGGCCTTAAACCAAATTCAGTTCTATTAATTTGCTGTAGATCCAGATTTGAGACTAAGCAGAGGTTATAATTTCTGACTTAACTTTTACATTTCCACTCAGAAACTAAGATGAAGTTTTGATGGCTTTTTTTAAATGAAGGTGAAAGGTTCACAGTAACTAATAGAGTGTAGGACTAGGACAGTGATAGGATGAAGTAACAAAATCAGCAAGTCAAATTGTCTGAAGAGGTAAATATGATTTATATATATTCACATATGTGTGTGTGTGTGTATATATACACCAGATCTTTAACATAATATTTAACATCAAGGTTTATTGACACTTAACTTCTGTATCAAACCAGCTTCTCTATTACATCCCTGTCTTTTCCTGAGCCTGGATTGACCCCTCTGCTGAGGAGAGTGGGACCACAGCACAATCTGAGGAAGTTGGACATTGCTGTGCTGGTGCCTGGTCCTGGAGGAATTCATGGGACAGGGTTGTTGGGCCACATCACAAAAGCAGTTGGGAAGGACAAACTCTTGTTTCCAGATTTCCCCTTCTCTCACAGACTCAAGGAAACAGAGGACCTGGGTCTGAGACTGCCTCTCTGTTGATGAGGAGCCCTGCTGCTGATATTCTGTGCTAGCAGAGCAGAGGTGCCCCTGGAGCAGGGAGTGACTTGTTCCTCATTCCCTTTTCAGGAGAAGGAGAAGAAGTACATGTTACCAGTGGATAACCTGAAACTGCGAGATGTGGAGAAGGGGTTCATGTCCAGCAAGCACATCTTTGCTCTCTTCAACACTGAACAGAGGTATGCTCCCATCTCAGCACACCAAGCTGCTGGAGCTAGGGACAGGATTTATGTAACAGAGTAGGGATGAGTGTGATAGGATAGCTGTCCAGGAAAGATATGATTGTCTTTCAGGACAGCCAGTTCT